TAGCCCATTGTGTAGCTTTGTGTTACTTTCAAACAAACAAACTTTTCTTGTCACTTTGAAATATTAACACCATCTATTGGCACCTACTTTACCGATGATTAATTTAAAACGTTGTCAAAAATTATGTCTGCAGTAGTATTACATTTTGTTTTAAGTAAAAGATACAGGTTTAAGGATGTATACTGCGCGCATTTAAGGTTGTATGTTCTAACAAATGAAAGAAAATATACGGTTACACTTCTGTCCTACGATTTTTGAAGGAATTTTGACAATTATAAAATTAAGATGAATTGATTTTTCGTCGTTATTCCTACCTAAATAATCTACAAAATGGATTTTGTTTGTTTATTGTTAAACACAAAAGTACAGAATGAGTTATTTATGCTCTGCCCGCCTCAGGTATCGAAATCCAATTTTAGCGTTATAAGCCCTCAATCTTACGGCTGATCCACAAAAATGGAAGAAAAAAGAATATGTTTCACATTTATCATAACTTATCATATAAAGTTTAGCATATACAGAAATAATAAAGTTTTCTAAATTATTTTCTTTTATTTGATAAAAGCGTTTTTTTTGGGGGGGGGTGCTATGACAGGGAGAGGGAATTTCCTCAAATTAATCATGCTTAGCTCTAAAGCTAAGTTCCAAGCATCTATTACAGAAGCTTGCGTAGTTAACCAAAGACGTCAAAGTTGACTATGCTAGCAAAGGGGTAACATTTCAAAGTCATGTTAATATTAAGGGTCAGAGTTTTGAAGGAACACGATTGTATTTCCAATTCACAGTCTAAAGTAGCAAAAGGAGAAAAGAGAAAATGGTTAATAAAATGACAATGTATTGATGGAGGACGAAAAAACACGGGTTGTGAAGAATGAAAAAGTAGAACAAGAACAAATGGAAATCAATGGAGTTAGAAAAGTCTAGAAAAAAACGCAGGGGACAACAAAACGGGTTACGGGAGGGAGACCAATTGAGAACAAACTAATATATAAGAAAATTTATCTTAAACAGCCCAAATTCAGGAAGACTAATTGGAGCACTAGTTGTTAAAGTGTCTCTGTGCAAAATCCCAAAACGTCCTAGTAAAGGACAAAGAAAAATTAGAATAATAGGCAAAATGCCATGAGATATTTGCCTAAGTAGTACATTAAAAAATATAACAATCAAGTAGAATGTCATTTCTATTTGTGAACTTTAGTATTTCATAAAATTGTGAGCTTCTGACGTTTACGTATTTCTAAAACAATTAAAATGACCTTCTCAAAAATCAGTAGAAAAAAGCTTTTAAGCTGCTTTTTTTTTCCACTCTGGATTTGGTAAATTCCCTTTTCAGTCTAAAACGTTTATTAAAACTATTAAAAAGTTTTGTCGTATTTCTTTAAATCTAGAATTACAGACAGTAATGTATCTAAAACTACATGTGTTTTTTATATCTATTCGTGAAATTTAATCATTTAATTATGAAAATCAGCGTTCTCCCATAGCTTTCTTTAAAATCTCATAAATATGGAAAATAACCTTTCGTTTTTTGTTTGAGTTATATCTCGTTTTAGCTTCAACTCTATGGATGGTTTTCAAACGATATTCACAAAATTCTTCAGTCTTTCTGTATTATCAGAGTAATGAAAGACAAATATATATACCTAGATTTTTTTGATTTTTTTTTTTGGCGTACTGAAATTATTTTGTGAATTTATTCCCTGGGTGTCGGAATTTTTGTACGTGAGAAAGCTGACACAAGTTCATCATCAAAACGATTTTCTAGAAATTATATATGATGCCCTCCAATGACTCAACGGTAAGTCTACGGGTTTACGACACTAAAATTCGGACTTTCATACCCGTGGTAGGCAAAGTATAGATAAGCCACTGAGAATTTTGATCAGACAATCTTATGTTACCATCTTGTAGAACTGTGTGTGAAATAATCCTGCGTTACCATTTTGTAGAACTGATGCCAAACCGTGTTATATTACCATCTTGTAGAACTCATGTCAAACGGTGTTGTATTACCATCTTGTAGAACTCGTGTCAAAGAGTGTTGTATTACCATCTTGTAGAACTCATACTAAATAGTGTTGTATTACCATCTTGTAGAACTCCTGTTAAATAGTGTTATATTACCATCTTGTAGAACTCGTGTCAAAGAGTGTTGTATTACCATCTTGTAGAACTCATACCAAATAGTGTTGTATTACCATCTTGTAGAACTGTGTGTGAAATAATCCTGCGTTACCATTTTGTAGAACTGATGCCAAACCGTGTTGTATTACCATCTTGTAGAACTCATGTCAAACGGTGTTGTATTACCATCTTGTAGAACTCATATCAAATAGTGTTGTATTACCATCTTGTAGAACTCCTGTTAAATAGTATTATATTACCATCTTGTAGAACTCGTGTCAAAGAGTGTTGTATTACCATCTTGTAGAACTCATACCAAATAGTGTTGTATTACCATCTTGTAGAACTCCTGTTAAACAGTGTTATACTATCATCTTGTAGAACTCCTGTCAAACAGTGTTGTATTACCATCTTGTAGAACTCATATCAAACAGTGTTGTATTATCATCTTGTAGAACTCATTTCAAATAGTCTTATGTTACCATCTTGTAGAACTTTGTATGAAACAATCTTGTAGGATTCGGTATAGCAGAATCTTGTGTTACCATCTTGTAGAACTTATGTCGGACAATCTTTGGTTACCATTTTGTAGAACTTTGTGTGAAACAATCTTGTGTTATCATCTTGTAGAATTCTGTGTGAAAAAACGTGTGTAGCATTTTGTGTTGCACAATCTTCTGTTACTATCTTTTCGGGCAGTTTCGTTCCTAGCTTGTATACTTTTGTCTTAAAGTCTTATGTTATTATCTTCTACAAGTTGATCTCGGATAGACTTGTAGCTACTATGTTGTAGAGGTTTGAGTTCTATAATATTGGATTATTATGTTATATATAGAACCTTGTGTCAAACAATTTCGGGTCATGAAGCTGCACTTTGTATCGGATGGACTTGGATCACTATGTTGTAGTCTTGTGTTAAATGGTCTTGAATCATCAAATTGTACTATGTGTCGGATAGTCTTGGATCATTATGTTGTAGTCTCATGTTGGACGTCTAGGGTCACTATGTTGTAGTGTTTTTGTTGAAAAAGTCTTGTTTATTACACAGTAGATGTCAGGCAGTTTTAGACAGATTTTGGTTAAAATGGGGAATAATTATACGTCAGAGAACCATATTTATTTACACATACAGTAGAAAAATAGCTGTGACAATCTTGATGAACCTTTTTATAGCCAGATTTTGATTAGAAGTTTCTGTTGAACAACTGAGATTTATCGTACAGAAGCATTTTATGTTCGAAAGTTTTGGTATCAACTGAAACTCGTCTCTCGTTTCATCTTAGGGAAATGGTTTGTGCCCTATAATAAAATATTATCTTCAAACGGACAGGAAATTCAGTTGTCAAGCTACAAGACGGTTTCATTTTACGTGTTTGCATGTAACAACTACTAATATTTCTTAAAGAGGATATTATGTAAATAATCAATGAATTTAAACAAATCGTTACTTTATCATAAAAAAGACAACAAAAATAAACAACTGTCTACAATTAATCATAAAAATATAGCTCTAAATCCTAAGCGGTTTAGAGTCATTCTAAGATTCTATATATTTATAAGGAGTCATTACCAAATGAGAATTTTTGAGTAAAAAATAATTTGAGAGAAATTTCACGACCAAGGATCTTTTATCAATCAAAATCGAATTAATTTTGTGACGCCAAAGTAGTTTACCAATTAAATGTTCTTCGTAATTATTCTTGCGCCAGACTACCCTCTTTTTTTATAAATATTTACGTTTACAAAATTATAATTTTCTCACAAATATTTTTTTTTAATAATAACTCCACAATTAGTATAAAGGATGAATGATTCTGCAATTTCATATAACAGAAACATGTCCACAAACGAACTTTTGGGTACTCCTTTATAACATCCATTCAATACAGTATCTTTGACTTACGCTACAGGAGGTTGTGTACCAAGATCTGCAAGTGGCACAGACTTGGTTCTTGATGTTAACATAATAAGCTACTTGATGGCAAAGTGAATCCTTACATACGCAAAATACCACAAGTAAGCCCATCAATCTTTTATTTTAGGTTAATGTGAAATTATTATCTTAAGCTATCTCATTGAAATATTTTTTTCTTTCATTAACTTGCGAAATATCCACTTTTTACAATCAAATCCTTTTCATTCTGATTGTATTCAGTTGTTATTGTTTCTAAGTAAAATAGTTTAATATCTCCTAAAATACCTTTGCCATGTAATCACATAAAGATTTGTTACTGAACATTCATGTGCATTGATCTTAATTTAAATGTGTTTGCAAATAAACGTACCTATCTAAGAGAAAACATTAAACTCCAGAGTTTCCAGATAACACATTTTATGAAGCTGTAAGTCTCCAACTCACCATGATAAACATAAACTTGTGTAATTTGCAGTAAAATATAGAGCTTTATGTGAACAACTACTTTTAACACCTTCACATTAATTTTCAGGATGTGAACGTTTGTAAATTAAAAAAAGACAACTCGTTACTGATTATACACTAAAAATGCAAGCACACGTGCATTAAAACTATAGATCGAACATTCAGACTAGCAATCTCGTTCTCAGAGTGAATTTTTTGAGATCATAAAATTAACTTAATTTTTAAAACATAACATGAAAAAGCGAAACTCTTCACTCATAAAACAAATATATGTATAAACTACAATGCTATAAAATATCAACTTCATGAGCAGCGTCTCTTATTTTAAAATAAAATATTTGTGAGTTTGAGTAATAAATTAGATAAAATATATAATTTTTCTCCACATTTCTATATTTCATTTGTAAATATGTAAACAAGTAGGATTAAAATCAAAATATTTGGAAAAAATAACCAATCTCATGAACATTCCTACAATAAAAATAAATAACTCCTTTTATATATTATACAATCTGAATTTTAAAAAAAAGTTTTAAATAAACTACTTAAGAAATTTTAGGAACTATTTTGAAACTGGATGATTTGATTGTAAGAGTAATCATAGATTTCACTCTATCTAGAGAAATATTCACACTTAAGTATTTCATTCACGCTAACTTTTACTAACACTAGTAAGATTCTTACTTGAGTTAAACTGGAAAATTAAAGACATTTACCGACAGCAGAGAGTAGCTAATACAACCGTTTCTTTAAAGATAATTTACAGTTATAACAGACATCAACAACAAACTTCATGGCTTACTCACCATATCTTGTCATTTCCGGTTAATTACAACTAGTTAATAGCTACTTGTTTTTATTTTCCAATAGAAAACCTATGTATTCCGAATTTTAATAGGACATAATGAAAAGAAAAAAAAATGATAGCGTAAGAAAAAAAAACTGTAATGAAAAATAAATATGTTAATATTTATATCACCAATAGTTGTTTAACTTTATTTTATATATGGTTACAGATCTCCTAAAATAATCTAAGACTCGTTTTACGTAATAAAACCCTATAACCGAAAGAGTCATAAGATCTTTTTACGCGAATCCTACTCTATGTTCTCTTATCATAATCATAGAATAACTCATTCCAGTAAAGAAAGCGCGAAATATTTACTACAAATTTACATATTTGTCATCAAGGGGTTAGAAAAAAGAAGGAATTTGCGTTTGGGTAAGTTAAATATCTGAATCTTTCGCCACAGATATTTGTTGCAGCAAATTTACGAGCTACAAGTTCATCACATGTGTTTTTATATGAAGCTGGTTAATTCAGAGAGAATTTTAGCATATATATTTCTGACTTGTCTACCCACATGCCCCGTCCGCCGGGGTTAAACTGGGGTGGAACGGTCCGAAACGGCGTGCCGCCTCTTCAGGGTTCAAGCCATTTGCTTTCTTGGTTTTGTGATTTGAATGTCAAAGTAGATCATGAAAGGGCGTTCCGCCTGCTTCAAAACCACAATTAAAACACTGCGCGCGCGTGTCTATGATCTGTAGGTTAAATATCTAAACTAACTAAGTAGCTTAAATAATAATAATAAGGAATAACACCATAGATAAAATCAAATAACCTCTTTTATAAATCCTACAATATTGTTTATCTCCAACACATTCAGTTATATGCGGGTTAAAAACTGTTAATGTCTAACCAGCTTCTCACTATGTTCTAAAGCGATTCTATTATAATTTGCCTTCTCTCTAGGTAGAGCGTTGTAACTAACCCACAAAAGGTCAGTCTCTACCATAATTCGAACTCTGTAAGTCAAATAATCTAATGAACCAACCAGATCTTAATTCTGTTCTAAACCAGTTAATCTGTAACACAATCCGCCTCTGTAGGTCGGATAGTGTAACTAACCAATAAGTCTACAACACTTCAATCTCTGTTATATATCAGGAATGTCAGAGAATTTTATAAAATCCAGTCAAAATATCTTAATTATGCAAGAAACAATTGATGCAATGCAAACGCGTGACCTTTAACTGCATTGAGCTAGAAACATATTCATACACGTAGTCTTCGTCGCAATTTAAGATAATCTCAACAAGTATTAATGTCAAACTTCAAAAGGTTGAGAACTGAGTATTTAACGAATTAAGTAGCTTGTTAAATAATAGAATAAATAAATATATATATAAAACATATAATTCTAATTTAAAATATTATGTATATTAACACACAATTTAAATACTGGAATGGTTTTTAGTTTCATGATAGGAATTGTACTGATAGTAATAATCAGCCCTACACATTCATGATGAAGAAAAACACGCGGAATATTCACGCTTTGTAACGTGGCAAAAATACATAAACATCCATTCGTAAAATGTTTTGTTAATATATTATGATTTTTTTTTCTTTCTTGTTTAAGTAGTTAGTTGTACTGACAAGTGACTACAGTAATGTTGACATTATTGCCCTTACTTTAGGAGCTCTTCCATACCGAGAGAAAGTTTTGATGAAATGATTTAGTCAAGAAACCAAGGTTACAAATGTGCATAATTATTATAGTGGTTTCAGGAATGTTAAGACACCACCTAGAGGTATCTAAAGTTGAGCTTGAGCTTCGAAAACACTTTGTATGCGATACTTGTCACGTAACTTAGCAGGCAAGTACACGATTCTTGTGGTGAAAATCAAAACAAAAAGTGATAAACTAATGACATTGGCAGCTCTCATTAAGTCTGCCGGTTTATCATTATGGTAAGAGTCTTGATTTTGCATGATGAAAACTTTTGATGTTACATGAAACTGTATGCTTGAACAAATCTAGGATGATGTTAAATTACTGACCGAAACTGTTGAAAGAGTCGGTGACTCACAGTTTGCTGAGGGTGACAATGGCGAGGGGGCGCTGCTATTGATAAGTGTCACACAAGATACGTTGACGTTGCCGACTGCAGCGCTATCCTGTGGCTGAGATTTACTTTCTTCTGCCCACTTGTCTTGAGAACGACGTCTAGCATTCATGAAGAAGTTCCCTACTGTAGTTAGATCGAGTCCGAGTTGTTGTGCAATAGTAATCTGCATTTCTTTGGAAGGCCTTTTGGTCTCCTTGAAGATTGCTTGTAACGTCCGCCTCTGGAGGTCGGTAAAGACGAGACGCGGTTTCTTAGGTTGGTTGTGTTTTTTCTGCTGGGGGGCTTCTTCCTTTCGTTTACATGCTAAAAAAAAACACCAAGAATTCCAAGAAGTATAATCAACGTGACGACAGAAAAAAAAAAACGTTACAATAAGGCTATAAATATTAAATTTAGTATTATAAAAATACTGAAAATAAGAAAAACATTTAGTCTAAGAAAAATTATTGCAACATAATCATAAGTTACTTTTCTAGAGTACAGTATTCTAATATTGTAATGAAACATTGAAACAATCTGTTATTGTAATGAAATATTGAAACATTCTAATATTGTAATGAAACATTCTATTATTGTAATGAAGCATTGAAACATTCTATTATTGTAATGAAATATTGAAACATTCTATTATTCTAATGAAACACTGAAACATTCTATTATTGTAATGAAACATTGAAACATTCTATTACTGTAATGAAACATTGAAACATTCTATTATTGTAATGAAACATTGAAACATTCTATTATTGTAATAAACATTGAAACATTCTATTATTGTAATGAAACGTAGAAACATGCTAATATTGTAATGAAACATTCTATTATTGTAATGAAACATTGAAACAGGCTAATATTGTAATGAAACATGCTATTATTGTAATAAACATTGAAACATTCTATTATTCTAATGAAACATTGAAACATTCTATTATTGTAATGAAACGTTGAAACATGCTAATATTGTAATGAAACATTGAAACATTCTATTATTGTAATGAAACATTGAAACATTCTATTATTGTAATGAAACATTGAAACATTCTATTATTGTAATGAAACATTGAAACATTCTAATACTGTTATATGAAACATTAAAACATTCTATTATTGTAATGAAACATCGAAACATTCTAATACTGTTATATGAAACATTAAAACATTCTATTATTGTAATGAAACATTGAAACATTCTAATACTGTTATATGAAATGTTGAAACATTCTAATACTGTTATATGAAATGTTGAAACATTCAAATATTGTTATGAAACATATCATTAGAACTTTCTAGTTTTTGATCTGGAATTATCAAATAGTCAAGCAATTAATGTGTTGATTTCAATAAAGTTTTTAAAGAATGAACCAGCTATTTTGGAACTGAATTTATAAATAGTTGTTTGAATTGTAAGTTTATCAATGTAAAGCCAGAAAGCGTCGTTTATAAAACTATAAAATACAAATAAAAACAAAACTACACTTGCAATTCCAAATTTACGACATTACGTTTGGACAGTTAGTCAACTGGAAATCGAAGCATGCTGGGTGCAGTGGAGTCCATTTTTGTTTTTTCAACAAAACATGTTCTTCAAAGTCAAGTTTATGAAAAAAGAGAAGCCCATCTATAAAGGTGAGCTTAAAACACAATTTCTTCAGCTGCTAATCTATGTTTACGAAACCAATAAGTTAATAATAAGAGAGATCAAATTATGTTTGATTCATCCAGTTCTTGTAATATTTTTCTTCAGATAGTTTAACTTTAATTTGTGGATACTCAAGTGAATATGATCAGATGTCATTAGTAAGTATAGAGTTAGCATACGTTAGGATTTACCCTTAGCTCTTACATTAAAAAAATACGACAAAAGTTTTTTTTTTAACCAAAAAAAACAAAAAAAACGGAAGTCTTATTTTGTCGTCAGCAGATTAATTCATCACTTAACATTTTTAGGTTTATGTTTGTGAATACACACTGAGAGAAAAAAGAAACTAGCGCTTTTATCGCTAGTACGTTTTTCTATACAATGACAGATATAATTAGTTCAAGAGCCAACTAGATACAAAGCACACACTCAGAATGAACGGATACAGATCATATAAACATATATGAACTTTAAGATTCGTCGCTAATGCTCATGCTTTTATGAGTTCGTAAAGCATGAGCCCGAGACAGACAAATTCATTGTGCTGATTAAATTACAAGCGTATGACACCGAAGTTAACGAACATGAGGCCTCTCATGAAAGAAAATGTAATGAGTTCCATAATGAATATTTTTTGTCAGGAGTGACCTATGGCCTAAAACAAAAACAAAAGTAAATTTCTGAATCCCAGAAGTATGAAATATTATGAATATTCAGCGGTGTTATTAAATAATTCATAACATTTTTTTGGAAACCGTTACTGGACCAGATGAATTAAAAACAATAAGATTATTCAATGGACTTGCTATAGAATGATTCATTACATTTCTTTTGGAAACCGTTACTGGACTAGATAAATAAATAATTATTCAGTTGTCTTGCTTGAATAACTCACCACCTTCCGGAAAACACCATTCTACTATTTGTAAATATTAAACATAAGAATATTCAATAGTCTAGCTATAGGAAGATTCATCACATGTTCTACCCTAAAGCAATATTAAACAACTTTCAATACAGACGATAGCCCTCAAATTCTAAACACAGGTTGCTAACATTAAGTATTATACAATCAGTTCATGTACTGGAAGCTCATGTAATGAATTCGATTATTTTTAAAGACACAAATGTCGCTCACGTTTGATGAAAACCAAAACTTGGCAGTTTATTATATCAGGCTCGGCATGGCCAGGTGGTTAGGGCGCTCGACGGGCAATCTGCAGGTCGCGGCTTCGAATACCCGTCACACCAAACATGCCGTTTCAGCCATAGGAGCGTTATAATGTGACGGTCAATCCCACTATTCGTTGGTAAAAGAGTGGCCCAACAGTTGGCGGTGGGTGGTGATGACTAGCTGCCTTCCCTCTAGTCTTACACTGCTAAATTAGGGACCGTTAGCGCAGATAGCCCTCGTGTAGCTTTGCGTGAAATTCAAAACAACCAACCAACCAACCAATCATTATATCAAGGCGAATATTTTACGTTCGTTTTCATAACATTTTCTAGATGCAGTACAGCACTGGACTGAAAATTTCTTACTATAGGATGATTCATTACATTTCTTTTGGAAAGCTATTGACTAACTAATACAACTAATACTGATAAGCCTAACTTTTACTTAGAACTTCTAAAACTAAGATAATAAAAGTAAATTGTCAAAACAAGAAAATTTCCGGAAATGAACTTTAGAAATTATAGTTCAGTATTGTATTATACAGTTTAACCAGACCTTCATTGTATTAACCACGGTAATCAGATCTTCATCATATTACCCACCATAACTAGACCTTCATTGTATTACCCAGTGTAATCAGACTTTCATTGTATTACCCAGTGTAATCAGACCTTCATTGTATTACCCAGTGTAATCAGACTTTCACTGTATTACTCAGTATAATCAGACCCTCATTATATAACACAGTGTAATCAGACCTTCATTGTATTACCAAGTGTAATCAGACTTTCATTGTATTTCCCAGTGTAATCAGACCTTCATTGTATTACCCAGTGTAATCAGACCTTCATTATATTACCCACCGTAACCAAACCTTCATTGTATTACCAAGTGTAATCAGACTTTCATTGTATTACCCAGTGTAATCAGACTTTTATTGTATTACCCAGGGTAATCAGACCTTCATTATATAACACAGTGTAATCAGACCTTCATTATATAACACAGTGTAATCAGACCTTTATTATATAACCCAGTGTAATCAAACTTTCATTGTATTACCCAGTGTAATCAGACCTTCATTGTATTACCCAGTGTAATCAAACTTTCATTGTATTACCCAGTGTAATCAGACCTTCATTATATAACCCAGTGTAATCAGACCTTCATTATATAACCCAATGTAATCAAACTTTCATTGTATTACTCAGTGTAATCAGACCTTCATGGTATTACCCAGTGTAATCAAACTTTCATTGTATTACCCAGTGTAATCAGACCTTCATTATATAACCCAGTGTAATCAGACCTTCATTATATAACCCAATGTAATCAAACTTTCATTGTATTACCCAGTGTAATCAGACCTTAACAAACCACAAGAAGTTAGGAGAGAACAATTGTGTTTTAACAAATGGTTCAATACTCTGGAAATTATATAAATAAAAATTAAAGCCAAAATATACAGATTATACTTCATTGTGAGTGTTAATTAAATATTGTCTTTACACAAATCAGTAATTAAACTCAGACAGACTTGCAAACACATCCTAGCCAGAAGAATAGAAAGATTGCAAATTACTAAGAATGATATTCTCAACCAAGGAAAAGAATGTTATTCATACATTATAAAGAAGGTGGAATATTTCTACCTCTTCACTAAACGTGAAACATTAGCGAAATGACTATCTCATGTTCGGGTATAGCCGTCATTAATTAATAAATGTTGACTAGAGAGAGAGAGAGAGAGGATAATCAGTCAACTGCACCCGCCGTCTACATACCTACCCTTAATAATGGAACAGCGGGATTGACTGTCACACTCCGTCGTCTACATAGCTTCTCTTAATAATGGATTAGCGGGATTGAATGTCACAGTCTGCCGTCTACATAGCTACTCTTAATAACGGATTAGTGGGATTGACTGTCACACTCCGTCGTCTACATAGCTACTTTTAATAATGGAACAGCGGGATTGACTGTCACACTCCGTCGTCTACATAGCTACTCTTAATAATGGATTAGCGGGATTGAATGTCACAGTCTGCCGTCTACATAGCTACTCTTAATAATGGATTAGCGGGATTGATTGTCACAGTTACAATCCCTCCACATCTAATAGTGAAGGGCGTCATCGGCGACATATTACAAGTCGAACTTTGAACTTTTCGATCTGTATCTAAGAGTCAGTCATAATACCACGCCTAGCGTTGTGCACAAACTGCACTGGAAAACACTGTAATTTTTAAACATCGTGAAAGCAATCTAAAACAATAGTTGTACATTATTAATGTTTAGCTATTTTCGTAAGTTCTTACTACTAAATGATATATAAGAAGGAAATGTAGTTCTTTACATTGCTCTAGAAGAAGGGTAGAAGCTGAAAAGAGCATTTGTTGAATGTAAATCGCATTTTGCTTTCAATATTGTATTTAATGTATTAGCTGAAAAGTCTGTTGAATGAATGCATGTTTTGACGAATGGGCAAGC